CATCACTTTCTGAATTTAAAACTATTTTTAAAATCTTATCTTTAATATCGTCATCAGCAATTAATTCATTTATTTTTTGTTTAGTTAAACATTTATGAGCAATATGTCATTCTTTTTCACACTTAAAACACTGAATTGGTTTTTTACCTTTTAATTTAAGTTTTTTAGTGGTTTTGTTTATTTTATCTTTTTCATAATTCCTTTTATGGAATTTTCTTCTTTTCTTATATGGTTTATTGTAAGATTTTCTTTTAAATGACGAATTATTTTTTGGAATATCAAGATTATAAGCAAATTGATTATAAAATTCTCCAAATTCTTTTCTACCAGTTAATTTTTGTCTTTTAAGTTGATTTTTGAGATTTAAATCATTACAGATAGTTAATCCTTCTAAAATACATTAAGAAATTAGTTCTCTTGTAATTTTCATAAGGGATTTTAAATCCTTCATGTCTTTATTTTAATTGAATTCATATTTTTTCTTCAAATAAATTGGATAATCCTTATGTGAATTTTTCTTTCCAAAATTCATTATTAACATTTGTTCTCAATAAAACTTTTGCTAAAAATACCACTTAGGTAAAGATGTGGTTGGTCAGAAGGCTGGTGTGGAGAATAAGATAATAGACTCTCCAACCAGGCTCCTATCCCAAGGTAATGTCCTGGAGAAAGATGGGCAAAAATCTGGGAATTCAATAGCACCTGAGAAAGCAGATTTTGCTTACTCTCGGGGGAAAACAAGTTTTAATTCACCATTGAATTCAAATTCTGGCCATGAATCTGTTGCGTATAAGTTTGTTAATTTAAATGATGAGGAGTATGAGAATGTATTTTGTACTAATCTTAAAGATGGCTCAGACGATGGAAAAGACGAGTCCCCGTTGGCACTGAAGTCCATTATTCAAGAAATGGTGGCAGCAGTCCATAATAATATTCATAGTCAAGGAGGGATAATTCCAAGCATGTCAAAGGGAGGAGATTCAAAAGGCCTTGAAGCTAAGAGAAATTTATTCAAAGAATGACTATGTTAAGAGGTCCTCACATTACAAGCAATCAAGGGGTTTTTACTCTAATGGGGAGGAGGCAGTGGGAGTTCAAGAAGATGATTTTAATTCTTTTATGACATCGGCTAAAGAGTTACTGTCAATACTCAATAAGGTTAAGCTAAAGAAGAAGAGAAAAGAAGAGGAATTGTTTGTTTTGGTTGTGGCACTTGATAAAGTACAACCCGAGATTATGGCAAGATCAAAAACTTTTAAGATGTCTAAGTCAAAGAAGTCCTATGGTTTTAGACGTTATTATATTTTATATGATTGGGTTGGTTTTTTAAGAGCTAATGAAGGAGGTGCAAGTCCAGATGGATATTCTCAGCAAAAAACCAGTATATTTTTCGGACTATTTTCAAGGATTCTTATCACATGCAATCACATGCAATAAGATGCATGCAAGTTCTGTTCTCACTTGGACTCTTTTGGAGATCTGGAAGTTTGATTTGTCAGTGGAAGATGGAGAATATTTTGCATGGGTTATAGGGAGGAGGAAATTTCGGCTACAATCTCCATATTTGATTAAGTGAAAATTTTCAAATTTCTGTTTTAGAAATTGCATGATTTAAGACGATTAAGTTTTTAGAGATAATGAAGGAGCCGCCAATTATGATGGGGAAGGAAAGTTTAAAAGATTCAAAGGAATATTGTTGTATCGTGATCTGCCCAGTCAAGGAAAAAGATTACTGCTTCAAGACTTAACAATTTCAACTTTTATTTAGAAGATTTGCTAAAATCCAAACCTTGCCTCCTGAAGTTTGAAGACTTCAACATCAAGCATGTGCATAGGAAGTATTTAATGGTAAGTGGTGGGCCACAGGCAACATGGTCAATGTGTTAGAATGGAAGATCAAAATAGGACCCACCACTTTGCTCTTGGTGGGGACATAATGATGGAAGCATGTATGCTTTGAATTTTCAATAAGGTGGGTTTCGGCTAAGCTTTGAAAAAAAAAAAAAATATCACCTAAAATGTGTTAAAATGTGATGTTTTAGATTTATTAAAAGTTCTTTATTTTTATCTTTAATTTATAAGTTTATCCCTACAAAATCTTTTAATGTTATTTGCATTAAAGTATAAAAACATATTCTTAAGTGGTTATACTCTCATTTTCAACTGTTATAATTTTTACTGCATTTAAAATTTTACTGCATATAAACAGCATCTTCTTGAGTGGTTACACTAGTGTGTGTTTTTATATAATAAAGTAGAATAAAATTTGAATTCAAAAGACAAAGAGAAGTCTAGATCGTTTTGACACAAAACATAAATACATTCAATGGACAACATAATCCCAACATAAAAGATAGTTCAGATCATCTCAAAAATTTTGATCTAACGGTCTATAGTTAGTCTTGAATTTTTTTTCCCGACCATGAAGAAGCCTCTTATTGTAAGACTCTACACTCCTATCTCTCATACGTCTCTTTCTTAAATGTGAAAAAACACAATAACAATTTAGATTGAATTCATTTTAAATTAAATGATCTAAATTTCATCTAAATTCATCAAACTTAATCCAATGACTCACAACACATTCCACACAAAAATAAAATTCCACCCAATGTAACTACACCCACACGTCACCCATTTTGTCTAACACAGCCCAAACTCCGACCATTGACTTTCTTCTATCCAAATTGTATTGGTGGTGATCTAATCTCTGGAAGTACTCTCGCCGGTAATCTCTCCATCTCTGGTAAGTGTGAATATGTGTATATATTGACACTGGTACGATTACCATGCAATTGAAACAAACACTGCAAGTTCCATCAGTCTCGCAGAAATCAATAAAATAAGAAGAAATAGTGACAAAAAAATACTACCACCCTATTTGGGTTCTGGCCATTCATAAAGTAATTTGTTTAATGGTGCAGTAACTTGGTTGATATAATAATAGGCGTGAAATTGATGCATAGATATCGCCCATAGCCTAAGCGATGTAAGCCACCGCCTCTGCTCCTTTCCACCGCCATTGCCCCTAGCCACCATCCACCCACAGTTGAATTATATTGATGGATTTTTTGTTATAACAATTCAAAATAATAGTCCAAGTGGATAAATCAAACAAAAAATGCACATCTTAAAATTGTCAACAATGGCTTCCCGTCGTCCGGAAAAGAAAACAAGGAAGAAGATCTCAAATTTTATTTATACCCCCATAATTTTAGGATATTTACATTTTTACCCCTTAATTTTTAGAAACATCATTATTATTCCTTAAGTTTCAAAAATAATATTATAACCCCCAGAACTTTTCTAGAAATTATTCTTCTTCATATAACTTTAAGACATATTTGACACATTTATTAGATCATGTGTGAGGTCTATATCTATAACTAATGCTAGAATTACCAATTGCTTATAACCAATTATTTTATTTTCTCTCTATTTACTTTCTAGCATAAATTGTATAAGTGGAGTTTAGCCTCATGTGAGGCTTCAATACTCAATTCCTATTGGTTGGAATTTTGGAGGTGTGTGCTTTATGGAGGATGACAAACTAATTATGTGGGTAGTTATCAAATATTTTGTATTTAATTTTTATAATTGTGCAGTTAGCAAATGTTTAACATTTATGTGTGTTGATGATTTTTTTGTATTGATTTAGCGGTGTATGCTTTGACAATAGTTTATTGTTTTTAATTTTTAATGGTCGCGTGGTTTAGTTGTAAATGTATTGTCATTAATTGATTGTTGTTAAATGTTCTATGTTAAAAGTGTATTGTTTGTACCTTAATTTAGGTTGATTTTGTTTAATTGCTACTTTTACGATAAAACTTTGCATAAAATTAAAAATATTTCTATTAAACACACATAAAATACATAATATCTCTAAGTTTAGTTCTTATTTTTCAAAGTTTAACAGTTTAACATTTGACCCCAATAACAGCATACACACCGTCATTACAGCACAAAAATCAGTACCCAAATGGATAATGTCACAATTTTTGGACATGTAAGTTATTTAGTATATCAATTTTTTCAAAATCTTTGGTATAATATTTCATCAAAAATCATTATATACTTACTATATGATTTTTCATCTTTCTTATTATAAACTTATTCATATCTAGAGTACACTGTAAGTAATTCTTCTTATCACGCATCCTAGTACTAATGGTTGATGTTTACTTCTTACTTCTTATCAATTAATGAAGTTTAAATTGTCTTTATAATCCATAAATAAAATTATCAAGTTATTATTCATACCAAAAATAAATCAAAAATATATAGTTCTCAAAAAATAAAAATAAAAAATTCAAAGCCCAAGTTAATCAGCAATTAAAAAAAAATAAGTGACCAATACAAAAAAAATAAGATTTCAATTGCACCAACAAAAAATGTTCAAAACTAATCTAATAGCTATGTGTTGAAATTATTCAAACATCCTATCTTTGTGTGTGAAAATTTTATAAATAACATAGTGTCTTTAGGCACGGGTAATGACTAGTATATATATATAACCTATTTTTAAAAAATTTTAAATTTTAAATTCAAAACCTAAGACTCTCTGCAATCAAATGCTCCTACGTGTCATTTGTAACCACCTCTCAACTTCCTCAGTAACAAAACTCCTGTTTTTTTAAATTTACTCAAAAGATTATTTTTTATCATCTAACATTTTTTATAATTATTTTATCCAACTTCTTAATTGATAAAATAAAAAAAAGGATAAATTAAATAATAAAAAAAAAGAGACGAATTATAATCCCGTACATCGCATGAGATGGACCACTAGTAGAATATTGATTGAATTTTATTTTTTCATATAAATATAAATATAGATATAAAAATTATATATAAGTGTAGTATTAATAAAAGATTCCAAAAAAATTTAAAAGTCAAATAATTATAAAAAATAAAAAATTGGATGAAAATAATACGTGGATAACGACGACTCTATAATAAGAATTATACATAAAATAATAAATCAAAAAAATTACAGATTAATGGTACGGTGGAAATACACCTTCATAAATAAAATTTGTTTTTACCCTTGATCATTTTCTATTATAGGATGTGAAATGGTTTTACGAAAATAGCCCTAAACAAGCTAAGTAAACTATGTGAGAATGATTGTTTACCAGAAAATTTGAAGTTGAAAAAAAAAAAAAGTAAAAGTTGGAAAAGGAAAATGACGCAATTGCGCACATATACGGATTGAAATAGAAGTTTCCACAGTGATCTGGAATCCGAGATTGATTCCAGAAAAATCTCAACTGAAACTTCTGGAACTCCCTTGGAGAAGGTATAAGTACGACACCCAAACCCATTTCTTTTCATCATCAAATCCAAAACAAACCACAAGAGCCAAAGGTTTACGATTTCTATCTTCATAGTTCAAGCGCAGAGAATTCTGTTCTGATTCAATTGATCGAAAACCAATGATGGATAGCCCGTTCTTCAGAAGCCACTATTATCAGCCATCGCGCCCTCACTACTCTCCTTCCGTCAGGGGAATACCAGTCAAGTCGGTTCGGCAGAACCCCACAACGACGGCGTCAGCGAAGGTCGTTTCAATACCCGTCCATTTCGTTGGGTCAGAGACGACCCGCTCGGCCTCCGCCTTGAAGATCCAGAAGGTCTTCAGAGGCTTCGAGGTGCGGAGGAGTGTGAAGAAAATCGTGTCTATCAAGAGCGAAGTCGATGAGATTGAACGGAGAATTTCGGTGAGCGAAACAGCTGAGTTGATTCAGAGGGATGAGAAAGAGAGGTTGAGATTGAATGAGGCGTTAATGGCTCTGCTTTTTAAGTTGGATTCTATTCGCGGAGTGGATTCTGGGGTTAGGGATTGTAGAAGGGCCGTGATCAAGAAGGCTATTGCATTGCAGGAGAAAATCGATTCCATTGTTGCTGCTTCTGATAAAACGCTAGGTACGGAAATTAATGACCAAGTGGTTGAGGTAAAGGTAAAGGTCGATGATCACTCTGAATCTCTTGATGAAGCTGTTGATCAGTCCCTGGAAATTAAAGATTCCGCCGAGAATGTTGCTGCTGATCAAACACGAGATAAAGCATTGGGGGCTAAAGCACCTGAATTCAAAGATTCTTCTGATTTGTCGATTAGTGACAATTATTCGGAAAATGCTGGGGATGGAAATCCTGGTGAATCGGTGCCTGAAATAGGCAAATCCGAAGCTCGAGAGGGAGGTGTTGATAAGCCAGCAGAAGGTTGTGAGAAGATGGAGGTTACTGAAATTGGAATTCATTCGGAGGTTAAGCCGAATGAAGACGATTGTGTTGTGAAGGAGATTGTTGAGAATTGCAATTCAATTCCGTTTGAGAGTGAATGTGTGGAAGAAACAAATCTGACACGGGACTATTTGGAGTCCTCGGTGCATCCTCAGAGTTTGAGTGAAGAGGGTGAGAAAAACAAGAGCTCAGAGAAGGTAGCTGATGGGATGGCAATGCAAAGAGCTGAGCAGACTGAAGTTGGAGGGGGAGATGATAACAAGATGAACAGAGAACTATTGGAGAGGATGGTGGAGGACAATGGGAAAATGGTGAGCTTGATGATGCAGCTGTATGCGAGAAATGAAATGCAGACTCGGATGCTGAACTCATTGACACATAGGGTTGAGCAATTGGAGAAGGCATTCATTCGTGACCGCCTAAGAAGGAAGAAGAAGAGTCATGCTGCTTGAGCAGTCCATTGTTAGACTGGAAGAGACAATGAGATGTGTGTCACTCTATTTCTAGATATAGGCAGCAGATTGTAAAGGCTTTTGTTTTGGTTTTTCTGTTAGAGATTGGAGGAATGTGCAATCGATGAATTTCGTGATAACTGACACTATATAGGATGGAAGGAGATGCTAAGGAAGTAGATTTTGTAAGTTTGATTTGAGCCTTCAATACAATATATTCCAAGTGCTTGATAGTTTTGTGTTTTGATTTTCATATCATTTATTGGTGATCATATCTCAAGTAATTCTTCATGGCCTACAATGGGCATCTTTTAGATTGAATTTTTCTTCTATCCTTCAAAAAGCTGCATCATTTTAAATTCCGGGTACAGAATGTAGCTTTTTTTTATGAGGGTTGGAAGGATACATTGTTTAAGTCTTACTGTCGATACACAACAATTTAGCATCTATGCAAGTGCTTCATTCTTTTGCATTTTCTGTTGCCAATCTGTTTACAACTTTGTGCCTCAGTGAGATAGGTAAGATTTTATTGTTATGTCAAATAGTCCATTTTGGTATCACAGCACTAAAGCATTTCAGCTTGTCTGAGTTGAACACTGCATGATGCATTAGGCAGCACTTGTGCAGTTCAACTGCTACACACTTTTTATCTTTTTGGTTCAATGATCAGGGTGTCTACACACACTGCAGTTAATTCTCTCCACAATCCTGTCAAGGATAAATTCTTTATGACCTGACCCAATCTCTAAGAGATTACCAAGATTCGATCTCACAACATCTAAATTTATAACTCATCTAGTTACGTTTGGGATGTGACCCCAATATAATTTCTGTTGAAAATACAAAAACTTTGATTCCGAATATTTAACCCGATTAAGAAGCCAATTGTTTTTAGTGGTAATTTAATGGATTAAATCATGACAAGCATCAATTTACTTTGCTTTTCTTAGAAATTCCTGATCAGAGTTTTAAAAGGTAGCTTTACCATAACATGACCGAATATCCATTTAAGACATCTAATTTAGAACATTCATAATCAAAGCGCATCATATCTTTGAAAGTAAAAGGTGAAAATGAAACTCATATCTAAAATCAAGGCATTCCTATACAACTAGAACTGGCTTAACCTTCCCTATCCTCCAATCTCCTGAGCATTTCATGCGTCTGTTCTGCCACTGTTTCCATTTTTTTTGATATTTTACGCACCGAGTTCATAATGTCATCAGCAACCAGAGACAATTCCTTGCTCTGACCGCTTGTGTGAGGAGATGTGGTCATGACTCGCAAAATTGACACGGCCTAGGATACGCCTAAAATTTCCTCTCATGATTATAAAATCTGCGAAAGCATTTTATTATAGAGAATGAATAGCCAACGACGAATAGCTAATATATGCCACAAGAAATTTAGATCTGAGATGACGCACATTTGACTACATAATCCTCAGTACTAACTACCAAAAACCATCAAGAAAAAATTCATTACAAAGACATTATAAGTGTGAGATAACCAATTGCTACCAACATTGTCTTTGCTACTGATGGGTGCGAGATTTTGGGCTTGGGCCACCGAATGAACTGGGGACTAAAAGCCCCCCTAGCCCGGGGGTCTCTTATAGGTTGGCCCAGTTGAGAGAAGGGAAGCATGTTACAAGGGGTCGTTTAACCTAGGCCCAATCGAACACCGACCCAACTAGGACCTAGGAAGGAAACAGACTGCTCTCCCTTTAACAACCCTGTCGTTCCACGTGTGCAAGAGACAAGGGACTTTCTCTGAAATTAGCTACTGCAGCATCCTCCCAAACAAGGAGGATGGTGGAACTCAGCGCCCAGAGGTGGTGGGCACAATAGCGACGGCAAATGGGAGGCTTTTGCAGGGTAGCAGCAGGAGGTCCCCACAAGGTCGACGAAAAGACAGAAAAAGTCATAAGGAATCTCCGGAGGAACAACCACTATAAAAGGAACAACGCCTTACCAGAGCAGGGGAGGGCCCGGAGAGAGAGAGATTCCCAGAGAAGAAAAAAGAACCATCGCCTAGAACGGCTCAATACTTATAATTTCAAAGCGTCGCATAAAATTTCAATACATTGCATTCAGGAGCAAGAGTCTCCATTACAATAGATGTAGCTTTAGTCTCTCGGCAAAGGTGAACCACTTATTTTCTATGTTCTTTTTCGTTTAATTTCCCTGATCCATTATGACACAAGAACCAAACAACCATAGTCCATAAGTTGGGCTTGGGTTGAGAAATTCCGAGAATCATCAGCTACTAAATACCAAAAAGGACTAAGAACAAAAGAACCATTACAAAAACAATGCAAGTGTGGTTGTACGTGTGAAAAAAAAAGAGGAAAATCCTCGAAGCACAAGCAAATCATGCAGGCAATCTAAATTTACATTTGTGACCGCCAAAACAAACAAGGACAAAGAAAATAATCTGAGGTTTCAAATGACAACTGCACAGGAATTGTGTTCCTATCGCAAAACAATCATAATACTCTTTGTGCACGGAGAACATTACTAGGAAAATCAATTGTCTGGCGCATAGTCTTACAGTATCATAAGTGACGGGACTCTAGGCGGTCCAACAGCTCCCAAATCGATACGTGTAAAAGTATAATCGTTATGAAACTCAAAAGGCGCCGAAGAGTAATGGTTCGGAGGAACCTAGAATACAAACCGACACTAGCATTTAAGAAGACTTGATAGCGCATTTATAGCGGAGTGATTGAGATAGGGATATTAATGAGTCCCTGTATCCTCGAGATCCAAACCTGTAGTCATGATTGTGAAACATTAATGACTATTACGCCGAACTTACCTTCTCAACTCACCCCGAGTATTAAACATTCGGGAATGGGTGTCAGGCTCCGATTAGATGAACTCGAGTACCCGGGGATAACCATAAGTGCTCGGCATGACCCCGAGCACTTATCCTATCACCCGTGCATTAAAGGCACGAAAATTTGAGTGGCAAATACTCATTGTGCATGGGTAAGAATGCAAGACATTAAATGGTGAGGTGCGACTTCAAACCTTTGCACTCATTGCTAATCCAAATATAAATACTTCTCAAAAAAATGAACAAAAGTACGCAAAACTAAATTGAAAGAAAAGTAACACTGTGCTTGTGAAAACCTGCTATTTATAATTATATCTATTGAGTTATCAAAATTTTGACTTTTAATAGAAAACTCGGATGAAGAAATGGACTTCATCATCGCATTCCTCTCATGAAAACGAGTTCCACTAGTATAATATTGACTATGTTTAGCACCAAAGACAAATTAACTTAAGTTAAATTAATTAAACAAAAAAAAATAATGATAAATAGTGTTATCACTCATGGCAGCCTGCCATGACTGTGTTTAGCTGACATTGGTTATGGTAGGAAGGCAAAGAAATATCATGCCATTGCCGCCCACAGGAAGGCTAAGAAATATCATTACCCTGCACTTGCCGCCCATGACTCACCAGCTACTTTGACTGAAGTCCCTCCCTCTTAGTGTATAAATATGGGCAAAACAAATGAAAGAAAGGGAGAAAAAAAAATAATCTGCCAGTCTTATTATTGAAAAGAAAAGCAGAGAGAGAGAGAGAGAGAGAGAGATGGAGGACTCCATTGTTGAAAGAGGAGAAGCTTAATGGCCAAAACTTTGAACCTACAACTACTACCTTTAGACAAAGGTAGGAATTACAAGTCCTTTGTTTTCTTCCATAGCTGTCTACGGTTTTAATTTTTCTTTTGCCTTTGCAAGTTGTTGATCTAGTTTATGTGGTGAGCATGTTGATAAATAATATATGTGGATGAGTTATGTATGTATATATATATGTATATATATAGGTATATATTTATACATGCATACGAATGAAATTTGTTAAATGGATCTTTGAATTTCATGAAGGAATGAGGTGAAAATTTATTGAAAAGTAATTTAGGTCTTTAGTGATGAATGGGTGGTTTTAGGTTTGAAAGTAATGAATAAAAGAAACAATTTATGGCAGAAAAGAAGCTTTACTGATGCAGGGGTTCTGTACGTCGGAGAAGATGATGAAATTTTGGCTTAATTCAGAAAGGTCCCCTTAAACATGTTACACCTATGTACTTTATGAAATTACACAATGACCACAGATGTTTATAAAAACATTTCCAAATGCCAAATTAGTATTTCGAGTAGTGCAGAAATGTTTCTGCAATTGTACTTTAACCCCAATAAGTATGAAATAATTATGAATATTACACAGTGTCCACTAATTTCATGATGAAGTTCCTAAATATTTATGAATTGACCCAAAAGAGTATACTTGTGTGGAAAGACCATCAAATCACACGTGGCCTTTAAGATTGTATTTCCTTGGAGTATTAAATTACCCCCACGGTGATAAAAAAATTATGTATATATATATATTAATCGTTCAAGTAAAAGTGAGATTATTTATGAAATTTATATATAAAAAATTTACAAGAATATTATTATGTGTGAAGGGTGGTACACTTCCACATAGTTAGAATGTTAATCATGATATATATATATATATTGATTTGAGTAGCTTATAATTTAAATTTCAAAAGATAAACAAAATGACTTTTATTAGTCGCAGTTGAGATCATTTTAAATTTTACTTTAAAATTAATCTAATGGCTAATATTAACACCCTAAATTTAATTAAAAAAAATAGGTCTTAAAGGTGTGTTTGAATTGATTTTTAAAAAGTACTTTTAGAAATTATTTCTCATAAATACTTTTAAAAAAAATAGTGTTTGAAACCGCTCCATCACCATTACTACCACCACCACCGCCACCGTTAACACCACCACCAGCACCACCGTCGTCGTCGCCGCCGCCACCACTGTTGCCAAAGCCACGGCCCCCACCACCATCGTTGTCGCCATTACCACCATCGCCGCCATTACCCCTACCACCCCCACAGCCTTGGCCGCCGCCGCCGCCGCCACCACCACCACCGCCACCGTCACCACCACCGCCTTTACCACCGTTA